TAACGTTCACGGTGTTTGGTCGCTGCTGTACATGATACAAACTTGAACGACTGCACTGTTTGTTTCCTTTGTCACCTGGCCGACTGAACGTTTCTTTTCCTGCCTGCGTTGCCATAAGCCTATGGCAACGCAGGCAGCCGAGAAGCCCTGGGAACGAAGATGGTGTGTATTTCAATATAGTTGAGATATCAGTATATATATATATATATATATATATATATATATATATATATATATATATATATATATATATATTATTTGTAACGCCACGTACTACGCTGCTTGGTAGTTTATCCACTACGTTAAAATAGATCAGCACCAGGCATTGAACTGAATAGAACTGGAACGCTACCTCCAACCGGAAATTTGAAGCCAAACTTGAAGGCCAGTCCCAGTCTTTTCGTGCACACGAAGAGCGTTTAATCAGTCAATCATGTTCTATCATATGTTCTATATAAGAGCCCTGATCATGTCATGTCATATTAAAACACATCTTACCTCCAGACACGCGTGTCTGGAGGTCCAGACACGCGTGTCTGGTGCAGACACGCGTGTCTGGAGGTAAGATTAATTTGGCTTCAAGAAAAAGATTTATCTGAAGGTAGCGTTCCAGTTATATTCATTCCAATGGTACCAGCCCTAGGCTAGCCAATAGGCAATTCCAGCATTTAACTTATGCGCGCAGGGAGTGACGGGAAGTAAGGTATCATATTGCTGATTATGCTGAAAAATTTCAATAAAAATTGCCGAGACAACAGAAATATTTCAATATTTACAAGTATAAGCTATCAATCCATGTTTACACGGCCTCCATTTTTATTTTTTCAGCATAATCAGCAATATGATACCTTACTTCCCATTCCCCCTGCACGCATAACCTATAAAAAGCTAGAATTGCGTCATAGTATTGTATGTTGTGCTGAGTGATTTCCTTTCCTTCTATCACTATGTTGCATATTTTCAGTCAGAAAAGGACTAGCCGGCATTTAGTTGAGTGTGGATATCTAATTTAAAAAGTAAAATAAAACAATCATGCATTGAAAATTGCCGATCCCTCGGAAACTTACCCTGTACTGTGACCTTTGTCTGCGGAATAAGGAATATATATTCTTAAAGCAATGATAAAGCAAAACGGTGATGAAGGCGAACGCAACACGAACGAACCCTTGCAGTTGAGGCTATGAAAATCGGATGTTTTTCGGATTCATATTTTCAACGCTTCGATGTTAATGATAGACGACAGGTTTATTATGATTTTAATTAACGTATTTTTTGTATCATGAAGAGTTCAAGCAGCGCGTCCAAACACCGTGAAAGTTCTTACTTTTTATTTTTTAAATGCTTTCATTAAACAATTTTGTTACGCATTTCATTCTTTTTGTCTATGGGGCGCCACAATTTATTCATGGTTTATAAACCATCCCTGGATTATTTATTTTTTTGTAAATAATCTATGGATGGTTTATAAATAATGAAGGGATTGTTTAAGATCGTACTAAATAATCCCAGGATGGTTTGTAAATATAATCCATATACTGTTTATAAATAATCTATGGATTATTTATTCAGAATACAAAGATTGTTTGCAAATAATGTATTATATAACTAATGGAAAATTCGACATATTTTTGCTGATAACATTTTTTTACATTTGATTTTCAAAAAAATAGTTTAAAAAAGTTTTAAAAGAGTTTTAAAAAGCAAAAAAAGTTTAAAAAGTTAAAAAATTTTAAAAAGTTAAAAAAGTTAGGGTTAGGGGTTAGTGGTTAGTGGTTATTGGTTAGGGTTGGGGTTAGTGTTAGGTGCCGCGAATTTATTATTATGATAAATTCAAAATGTGCCGCGAATTTATCATAATGATAAATTCGGACGTGTTTAAGAATTTACTCATATAGTAAATTCAAAGGTGGAACTCATGCTGTGCTTATAATATTACCGCGCGTTCCACAAACAATTGCAGGTCACGATTATAGACTTCACTCTCCAAAATAATCTCAAGAGCTTTTATTTTAATTTCTTGTTAGATCTTCATGATGTTCCTTCATGCAAAGTTAAAGAAACTGAAGAAGTACGAGAAGAAAGCTGAGCTGAAACAAGAAATACTTCGTGAAAAGAAATTGTTTGTTCTGGACAACTCATTACGTGAGAGTACTGTTGGACAACTCAGAGGTCATACAATTGAAAATAAATGGAAGATTTATGAAGAGGTAAATATAGTGATAATTTATATTTGATAATTTTTGCCAATAATTGATTTTGTCACGAAATTCGAAATTATAATATATATACATATATATATATATATATATATATATATATATATATAGGATTGTGCCTAAGAATCTAGCTGCAGGTAATCTGGCCATGATTCACTGCAGAGGCCCTTGTGTGCTTGTTTTAGACGCTGTATTGTGTGTTCTCTAGAGTAGGAAGCCAGCCAAGTTTAAGAACATCCTTCTCTGAGCAAAAGTGGTTCTTTTGAAGGAACCGAGGAAGGGGATATGCCACGGAGTCATTAAAATTTAATTTTGAAAGTATCAAACTCTGGGCCAGATATTTCTTGATATTCTGTGGTGTCGTATTCTTTATTCTTCGTAAAGTGGCGAGTATTTTGTAACACGAAGATATGACCTGATTTATGTGATATGTCCATTGGAGGTCTTCGCTTATCCATGTTCCTAACAACTTAAAAGATCTAATTCTGTCTAACGTTCTGTTCTTTATAACATTTGGTGGTACAAGGTCGTCGAGACAATGTGTTTTGGACATCTGGGGAGTTGTGATAATCATCTGTTTGGTTTTCTTCTCATTTAGTAGCATGTTATTATTCATTGCCCATGTCTCAATACTGTGCAGGCTATCATCCATCATCTGTACGCAGCCGTCCAAATGTTTTGGGGTACTGTGGCGGTACATTGTGGTGTCGTCGGCATATCGAAAACAGGTAGAGCCTTCTTGTAAACCGTCCTGCATGTCATTGACATATAGATTATACAAGAAGGGTCTAAACTTGAGCCTTGTGGAACGCCAAACGTCACTTTCGCTAGTTCAGATTGTTTGTCGTTTACTTGGACAATCTGTTTCCTTAAAGACAGGTAATTCACAATCCACTTCAGGGCAGCTCTGCAGGACATACCAATATCGTGGAGTTTCCGTACTCCAACAGAATAGTCAACGGTATCAAAAGCTCTGGAAAAGTCTGCAAATGCGATTAGTGTCACCTCGCCCTTTTTCATCGCTTTTACGATAACGTCTTTAATGCGCAAGAGTACAGTAGTTGTCGAGTGTCACTTACGACAGCTGGTGATATTACCGTTTAGCACGCTGTGGTGTTCGATATAATGTATCAGTTGGCTTAGGGGCCGACCATTTAACTTTTGAGGGGGGAAGGGTGATTTTGAAAAAAACATTTCCTGCAAGGCTATTCTGAACAAAAAAAATACCTGCACTAACAAACTGGGGGGAAAAAAATAACCTGCCCCAGTATTTGGTGGGAAAAAGATGTTGCAAAACAGCATGGTTGCATGGATCGATTTGACCAGTCCCAGGAGATCAGCTGGTTTGATTTTCAGGGACTAGTGTAAGGGCTATTTCATAGTCTACTATAAAAGCACACTTTTTCCGAAGGATAGTGAAAACTAGTCCATAAATAATCTGAATAATTATTATTTATACTATATAAAGGACTTCATATATGACAATCATGTTTTACATGAGTCTTAAAAATGCCAAGAAAATTCGGCCTTGTCGTTTAATAAGCTCTCTATAAATATCTCAATCGAGACAGCTACGAATTCGAGAAACCAATATTCAGGCTCTTGTCAGCAGTCCACTTATTGATGTAACGGATTTCATTGGCTGTATTTCCCGCAAGATCTTAATATAAAGATCTATTGAATAAACCAAATGTTATACCTCATAGCAATCATAATATTAAAAGCAATGCATGAAGCTAGAAAACTCAACGTTAACTATTATTAAAGAATCTAAATAGTATAAGCTATTGAAAAAATAATGCTGCGAAAGAGTGGAAAAAATCGTACATGAAAAAAAAACAGAAAAAAAAAACTTGCACATAACGATCCCAGAAAATGCCTTCCAGCAGTAAATCACCCCCACCCCTCAAAAGTTAAAGGTCGGCCCCTTGGAACAAGTTTTTCGTAACTTTTAGAGAGAGCTGGAAGAATGGAAATAGGTCGATAGTCGTCAGGTTCGGAGGGAGAGTCGACTTAAGGAACTGGCGAAACACCAGCCACTTTCCACACCTCAGGAAAGGAACAATTGTCAATGAGACTGTTAAAGATGTGTGTCAAAGGTGACGCAATGGTCTCGGCACCGAGCTTGGGGCACCTTGCAGGGATTTGGTCTGGACCTGTTGAGCAGTTAACTGGGAAGTTAAGATAAAAACCAGTCAAGCTCAACTATTATTGAAATCCCTTCGTTCTGAGTGACCAAGATCAACATGCTACTTTGAATATAAACTATGCTGCAGTTATTATTTTCATTTCCAACTAAAGAGCCCCTTATTAGCACACACCAAAGATGCATCCCCAAGTAAACAGAAAGAACCTGTTACTGTGCATAGAAATAGAATACCGAATTCAAAATTGCAAACACAGCAGCCCTCTAATATAAACACAAAGAAAAAAACTAAGCAAATTCCTAAAAGCACTATTCCTTGCCGTTTTCTTTCACGGCGGGGCTGGTGTATTAAGAAACATACAGAACTGTGATTTTAAACATCTACAACATCTGCATCCAAATGAGCCATCGGATACCTAAATACAAAATACGTTGTCCCTTTATACAACGGAGAGGGATTTGTTTGAAAAGAGATCATTGTTACTTTTCACATAACATCTCATTATAATAGTCATTGATTTGTAACCCTAGTGTCATGTTGATTAACAACGTATTCAATGTTAACATTCAATACTTTGTATCACGCATGCATATGTAATGTATAATACAGCTTCTTGAAATTATATATATTCGATTATTTTAGATAAAAAAAGTTGGCTTTCAGGATATCATTGTAACATCGTTTTCCCATATGACCCGTGTGGAGATACATTTATCCGTCAACTGGCAGAAAAAGGAGAAGATTTTAGCAAATTTTACGCTTTTACAGAGTTTATTGAATCAATTGACAGTCGAACCAAAATTCCTGACACAGATACCATTCCTGTTGGCTTGATGAAAATGAAAGAGTTGGGCATTCGAAATCCGATCATTGAAGCTGATTTGTTTTATCCCAACATCGACTACAAAATATTCAACGTGAAAAGAATTACCAAACTTTTCTCACAAAGAATGCAATGGATACGAGAAAATCTTTCAAGAGATGCCAAAATCTTTATCAACCTTCGTGATATTGCTGACGCCATAATCAACGAACCAAAGCGTGTGTTTAAAGTTGTTGAATATCTTTCATCGTTGCCAGCAGATCAACGTCCTTTTGGTTTGATATTTGAAGAACCAACAGGAAACTACTTGCCAGATCAACTTGGTGCTTGGACAGCCGCAGTACGTCAAGAAATGGACAAATGTGGTTTTCAAGATGGTCATTTGTTAGCTCATATTCATGAGAAGTGGGGATTGGCTCAAATGTGCCAGTTGGAATGTCTTATCAACGGAGCAACCGGTATTTGGTGCAGCGTATGTGAAGAAGGAGCAGCCTTAGGTCATGCATGTTCTAGTGTGACCTTATTAAATATGATACGTTTGGGAAATGAACATGTCTTTAAACAATACAACTGTGTTGAACTACGCATAGCTGCTCAAGAAGTGACAAGAATAACAACCGGTCAGGAACCACATCCTAAACAACCTGTGTATGGTGAACGAGCACTGGATATTGTTATGGATGGTACCATGGGTTCAAATCCTGAGGATGAAGGTTTCTGTATGGCAACATTCTTTGGACAAGAACCGCTGATGAGAATGACAACATTAGCAACACCAAGAATGGTTGTAGAGAGACTAAAAACATTGTTTGGCGAAAATACTCAGTTTACACAAGAACGAGCTCAAAGAATGCTTCAAGTCATGTTAGAAGATCTACATGAAAATAGAAAAGAGGAATACATGAGTAAAGTTGGTCTCGCTATCTTATTTGATCGATCTGGTGGCAAGCTTACCGAAGCAATGGCTAAGGCGGTTGAAGATGAAAAGCCTGAAACACTTCATGGTGAAAAGCTGATCGCACAAATACGGGAATTGTGGGACGTTTGGGATTTACGAGATGGTGTGAAAGATGACCAATTAGAATTTGATGCGTTTTATAACGGCTTCATGGCGCCGTACTTTGGCTGCTATAGATGTGATACAACCAGACGTGCCTTGAAAGCAATTGATATGGATGAAGATGGCCAAGTGGACTGGAACGAGTTTTCGTTGTATCTAAAATGGGCCATTCGTGAATATCCAGAAACAAAAGATGCAGAGGAATTGCTTTCTATCGCTTTCCGTAAGGGCCTTATTCCAGCCATGCAAGACGAAATATTGAAATAGAGCTATCAAGAAACTTAGAACACTATTTCCAAAGTGAAATTTGCACCTCAAAGTTAACATTTACTTAATCTGAAAAGAACAATGACGGCAAGGTGGAATTTTTAGGTTGTAACGGAATATATATCTGGATGGCCAGTCAATATGGCGCCCTGTTCTTGATTTTCTATATATTCATAATTGACGTCATTAATTATATAGTTTACCGCGTTTCTCTACAATTCTACAGGCTTTATACAATTTCTAAAAAGCAGCATTAACTACATATCTATTAATTCATTTTAATAATATTATAAGAGATTTTATTAGTATGACAACCTCAATAAGTCAAAAATATAACGCAGCTGCATCCATAAAATGTCGTACATGTTAGAGGTGTGCAAATCCGATCCGAAACCGATCCGATTCGTTCGGATTTCAGAACCAAAATATTCATTTCGGATCGGATCTGATTGATAAAGTTGTTTCGTAGTCGGATCGGATCGGACTTCGATATCCGAATTAAAATGAATTAATTATCCACGCATTTTCGCAAGAATTAATTTCCATGCATTTATCAAAGCAACATCGCGGTTGTCGCTGCATTATTCGTTTGATATACTTCAATTGGACGTCACTTTGTCAGCTTCTTGACATGTATTTCTTGCTTTTATATTTATTTGGTCAAATATTTCAACTTGAATGAGAAATTTATTTTATAAAAGAATTCTTCGAATCGGATCGGAATTCTTTGTCAACACTCGGATCGGATTCGGATTAGACAATTTCAGATCGGATTTTAAACATTAGGCAATTGTCGGATTATAAACGTCCAATCCAATCCGATGCACACCTCTAGTGTATGTAATTTAAACGCACAACGCCATATATGATTTCACATGTTAAAATGTCTTTTCACATGTGAAGTGTTCAAATTCCACATAATTCCACATAAGTTCACATGTGAAATTAATTTTCACATAAGTCCATATGATCCTTAATTTCACATTGAAATGTTCCAATTCCACATTTCCACATAAACTTTCACAAGTGAAATGATATGTGAATTTTCCGTAAGGGCGTGATCACTATCGGGTTCATCACAGTCTGTTTGCCTTTGGCTATTTATACAGATTCCATGCATACCGGCTGTATATATTTTTGCCGCAACCTAACCTGTAATTTAAACGCACAACGCCATATATGATTTCACATGTTTCAATTCCACATTTCCGCATAAACTTTCACAAGTGAAATGATATGTGAATTTTCCGTAAGGGCGTGATCACTACCGGGTTCATCACAGTCTGGTCAGTAAGTATATAAACGTATTCATGCACAAAACAGAGTTGCAAAGAGTGTTCAACCTTCCACGCTGTAAAATTTCAAGTTTTCAAACCTTTCTCAAAATAATGTGAATTATGCCTTTTACAAATTGCAAACTACATAAATTATGTCATTCAAAATCGGCTTCTTATTCCTATTTCCTATTCGGCTATTGACTAGTTTTTAGCATTGATCAACTGGTTGATTGCATTGCTATTGCCAGAGTTAGCCGTTAGGAAATGTTATACCACAAAACTCTGCGATTTTAATACACCTAAATTGTAGCTTATTTGCTATCATATTTGTTGAACCATAAACGTGAACAGATGCGGGACATCACCTGCACGTTTTACAGAATACTTTTTATTGTTTTCTCCTCCGTATTCTCCAATATGATAACCATCCAGTATCGTTACTATCACAATAGTTACTAACACAACATCAGCATCCTGCCATTTTCAACCTGCATGCCTAATCAAGTATCGTTTACTTGTTTTATGATGTTGGTGTTGAGTAGAGACTAGAGTGTTCTACATTAAACCTTCCTCATTGATCTCCATATATATATACGAATACGAGCGCGAAAGGCTGCTGGGAATCGCTAACAAATTAATGAATTTCGCGCTCGTATTCGACTTTTCCGCTTTGCTCGTGGACAACCTTAATTGAAATAGCTGTATACTATATAGCTGCAACAGTGTTATTATATACATTTTACACGGAATGATTTGCAACGACGACTTTAAATGATTTGTACGGATTTACACACAAGTGCGGGCACCCTAATTATATACTTCAGCGCTAAATGCGTGACTCGCATGCATTCTGAGAGGCATATATGCATGCCAGTTAATTAATTTAATGCTTCTGAACGAAAATCTGCTTGCCCCCTCGTCGGTCCGACGTCCCTGGTCGATAACTTTCACTGTATAAGAAACATGACTGTTACGGTTTTCACTACGAAAATGACTGGCGCTTGGCGGTTAATTAGCGGTGAAGGAGAAAAAAATACGACGCATTGGCACATTTGAGAGGCGGTTTTCGGATATATCTCAATTGTCCCGGCAGCTCACGGTGAAGAAGTTATCGCTCGATGATTCAAAATCGTTGAGCATAGACTGCATTTGACATGAGCTCTATTTTTGGAAGATCGGCTGCCTTCACATGCAGAAATAGAATCTAATGAAGCATAGCAAATGTGTCTGATTGAATCAGACCATTATGGTATATTACAATGGTCTATCTTTAAAAACCGCCAAATTAAATATAATTATCGATAAAAAGAACACCAAATGCGTGATAGCGACTATCTTTGTATTTCCAAATTAAAGCAAATAGAAATATTTCGAAAGTTCGGTACTTTAAAAATATGTTTAGCTTGGACGTAATTGCCTGAATGTTTACAAAGTCCTATCATGTAATATTTGCCCATGGGTACGGCCACTGAAAACAGGAGAGTTTCATGTAAAACGGTAAACTAAAGCCCCGTTTAGGCACGCGGACCCACGCTTTTTGGTCCGCCTGTTGCGTTTACACGACGAAATTTTTGCTCTAAAAAATTTGGGTTCGGCCCGCTTAAACTGGGAACGGCACTCTTACATAATCTGATCTATTCAGCTATAACTTTTTGGTGTAGCGAAGTGTAAAGTGACTTTAAACTTTATTCCGAGCATTAAATTTACATTTTAAATTTACATTTTCAGCTTTTTCCCGGTAAAATAAGCAGAAACTATATTTTTATTGATGTAGTTTAAGTTTTCGAAAATTTGTATTGAAGTATTTCCGGTCCATTTCTCTGCTAGACCAGATAATTATAAACATTTTCGTAAAAAATACAAAGTAATTTGTGTATTTCGATGCATGTATTTTTTCAACTATAATTTTATAAACTCATATAAACCTAGCAAAATACTTGTTGGTGCCTGAAAACCATTATATGAACAAAGTGTTTTAATTTTCTAAGCTATAAGATATTTCATTGACCTTCATCGGGATAAACAACTTTGTAATAAAGCAAAAAAGCCATATTATAAAAATATAGGCCTAGGATGCCATTTTGAAAGCGCGTGCGAACAAGAAACACCGCGTCTTAATTTCCGAACTAAAACATACAACACTAAACGTGCAGTAATCTCGTATAAACTGGCTGACAAGCAGTGACAACAGTTTAATAGAGACGGTTTAAGATCTACGACGCGGCCGGCTCAACGACGCGCTTGCGAAAGAAAGAAATTTGTCATGCAAGACAAAAACTGTAAATAATTTTTGGTCCCAGAGATATTCTCAACGGCTTTGTCATGCTCAGCAGAACGTTAAACTAAGCATTATCACGTCTTTGAAGCAACGTAAATTAAGCTTATTGCGACCCAAGAGGTGGTACTTAAAGTCGAAATTACAGCAAACATTGCATCGCTTTAGTCAAACTTAGCAGTTTGTATATTGTTATTTGAAAATCGTCAAACATTTATTACAGTAATGAAATTGCTTAGCTCATTTTTTAGCTGAAATTCAGACCGCGTCGTTGAGCCGGCCGCGTCGTAGATCTTAAACTCTATAATTTCAGAATACTTAAACTGATATTTAGATATATACTGTTTTATTTCGTTGAAAACTTATACTATACAACAATGATTCGCTGAAGGCTCACTGCATGATTATGGTGAATGTTGACCGATAGCACTTCGCCCCATAATAACAATAATATAATCTTCACCATCAGCATTGCTTAAACTGCTTTAATACAGTTCTCAGTTTTCTCTTCGCTTTGCTGTGGGCTTTGCATGACTTGAGTGTAGCAAGAATACCAGTTGAATAGCTTCTTTATATGCATGCCATAATATATATCGGAGCTCAAATACAAATATGGCTTCGTCTGACCACATTTCCCCTCGATATTTTGTTTGTACAGACACAATATTTTTGCAATGTGAGAAACAAAACGCGTGTAGGTGGGCCGAGACTACCTCCCTTAATCTTGCGTTTACACGACAAAAATTAAGAGTGCCGTGCCAAAAAAAATGGGTCCGCGTGCCAAAATTCAAGCGTGCCGTACCCAAAATGACTGTTGTGTAAACGGGGCTTAAGTTACTCGGTAGATTACTTATTGTCGCAATGTAGTAAATGTATACTTGTAAAGCAAGAGCGTAGCCAGCCCCGAGCGAGTTGGGGGGAGGAGGGGTGGTCTAATCGTCCGGCCGGGGCATAGTCCCCCAGATACATGGTCCCCTATATACACGTTTTATGATGATAATCTCAAAGCCATAGAAGTTCTATTCCGGAGTATATCCTCGCAAGTCTTTCAAATTTCTCTTTATAAGCTAAGCGCTAGGGCAACTGCGACTATAGGTTTACACACAGTTTCCATTTTTGGACATACCATTTTCCCCTAACTTACGGAAATTCATTGTACAATTTTTCAGTAATATTTTCGTAATGTTTTGCTGAATTACACACACACACCCAGGAGTTACGCTCCTGCGGTGTTGAGAGAAAACGCGGATACGGACGGATGAAAAAGAATAAAATGCGGATGGCGGACAAAAATAATAAAATGCGGATAGGGGACAAAGATTATAAAATGCGGATAGTGCAATAAAATGCGCAATAAAATAGTTTGTTTAATGAAAACAATAAAATAACGACGTAATAACGTTCACGGTGTTTGGTCGCTGCTGCATGTTCATGATAGAAAAACGACTGCACTGTTTGTTTCCTTTGTCACCTGGCCGACTGAACGTCCAACCTGTCTTCTAACATTAACATCAAAGCATTGACGGCACAAAGCGCCTCCATCGCATTTAAAGTACTATTTAAAACATGAGCAGCAGTGTTTTATCAGATGTAAAGATACGAGGCCGTAAATTGCCTCTATTAAGTTCATCGGCGAAGTAATATGTTGTGTCGAATAAATCAAAGTTAAAGTTTATGTAAA